GGATGTATGGTTTGTTAGGATAGGACAATATTTGGCTGAGATACAACTATTTGAAAATCTGGAATCTGAGGGTGCAAAAAAATCTAAATATTGAGAAAATCGCCTTTAAAGTTTTCCAAATGAAGTTCTTAGCAATGCATATTACTAATCAAAAATTAAGTTTTAATATATTTACAATAGGAAATTTACAAAATATCTTCATGGAACATTATCTTTACTTAATATCCTAATGATTTTTGGCATCAAAGAAAAATCGATAATTTTGACCCATACAATGTATTTTTGGCTATTGCTACAAATACACCCCAGCGACTTAAGACTGGTTTTGTGGTCCAGGGTCACATATATGACTAAAAGTGTTGATGAGAGAAGTCTTTATTTTCATTTGGTCTGTCTTTTGTCACTTTAAATTTAAATACAATGTGTCTTTGGTCTGTGAGAGCCGGCAGACAGCACAGACGCATTAAAAGAGCCACTGAAGCAGTCAGATGGGGTTCACCAACCTCACATTCCCACACATTACACACGAGATGCACGGCAGCAAAAACAGGCGAGCCTTCAGAATAGCTGTAACTGAGCTGACTGTGCTTAGTTCCACAAACTTGACCCAGTTTCCAAAGAGAAGCATGGCCAGCAGAAGACACAGAGGCACAGAGAGTGTTGTGTGGGAACTTGAGTTGCTCCGAAAAGGGACGGGTTGCTCCCTCGCCCATGTCAGCAAGTGCACAACCAGACAATGGCCCTCTGGAGAGCTGTGGCCCTGCAGATGTGATTGCACTGCTTTCAGTACAATAACAGAGTCATCCTCCTCTCTGCTCGCGGAGTTTCCGCCTCCTACTCTTCTTCCGCCCCTCTCTTTTTCTTGTTTCCTCTAACGGACACATACACATTCACGTTTCCTGCTCTCTGAGAGAGAGGAAAACTCTTAGGAGGAGTTAACTGGCCATTAAGCAAATTCAGTGAAAGACAACCGAAAGATAGCTTATCAATGGTGTGATTTAGAGTGATGCCTTTTGGAGATCTTGCACTCTTTAAGATTCGGAAGTGAAATTTAGTTTGTTTTGGACTTGAGGAGGAAGGATCACAAATTTACGACTATTTAATATGGAAATTACTTACTCTGGAAAAGTTTCCAATGTAAAAGAGCAAACTGTAAAAAACAAAAAGAATTTGTGAAAAATAGCATTTTTTATTTTAAAATGTACATTTTTAATTATTTTAATAATTTATATTTTTTCTTAGCTATAGATTGTGGATAGTAATGTAGTAGAAGGAGAAGTGAGAAAAAAAAGATTGAGTGAGAGAGAGAGTTGATCCAGTGCAGACATCCCCACAGAAATCACACCAATGCACATGAACTAAAAGAACTCAAAAATCCTCCTCAACACATTGCAGCTCAGTTTTGGTTTTGTCTGAAAATTGTGGGTTTCTCATCTCGTTCAGCAGTTGAGACCAGTGAGCAGTTAATTGGCTTGCTTTCTTTATCTCTGTCAGCGCTGACAGAAGTGCAAAGGCATTTGGAAATCTGCATTGTGAATTATTTGGTTTCTCCTTTGTTGACCAAAAACCAGGAAGGTTCTTGTCCTAGAGTAATGTTATATTTCATTGATTGAGCCACTTAATCTTTTGGATGCATGTTTTTAATAATATGCACTTAGATGTTCATTCTGGAATATATGTTCTTTCTAGAATTACCAAATTTGTGGATTTTTGTTGTTGTTGTTGTATTAAAACTGATTAGACTTAATATTTAAATGATTTGAATTTTTGTACACTTAAAGGAATAGTTTACCCAAAAATGAAAATCTGCTGAAAATGTACTCCCTCAGGCCATCCAAGATGTAGATGAGTTTAGTTGTGTCCTAAATGACACACTATGCACTTATTCTATGTACTCAACTGTCTAGTGTATAAATTATATACGTTTATTTTATCATCCAACATCAGAGTCTTCCACACTTAGTTTTTTTCAGTTACTTAATTGAATCATCCAGGCGTTTGAAGTGCACTTTTTCTTGTTGCTTAATATTTTCAGTGTGAACACACTAATCACACTAAAATGCCAATAGTGCACAAATATGCAAATTGGACGCAACTTTTGTTTCTTCATCAGAACAGATTTAGTAGAAATTTAGCATTACATCACTTGTTCACCAATGGATCCTCTGCAGTGAATGGGTGCCGTCAGAATGAGAGTCCAAACAGCTGATAAAAACATCACAATAATCCACAAGTAATCCACACAACTCCAGTACATCAGTTAATGTTTTGTGAAGTGAAAAGCTGCATGTTTGTAAGAGATAAATACATCATTCAAAGCAGAGGATCTATAATTTTCTCCAGATGAAGAAACAAACTCATCTACATCTTGGATGGCCATTTTCAGCAAATTTTCATTTTTGTGTGAACCACATAATTTTTTTAAAGGGGTCATATGATGCGATTTCAATTTTTCCTTTCTCTTTGGAGTGTTACAAGGTCTTGGTGCATAAAGAAGATCTGTAAAGTTGCAAAGACTAAAGTCTCAAATCCAAAGAGATATTCTTTATAAAAGTTAAGAGTCAGCCACACCGACCTAAAACGGCTCGTTCTAACACGCCCCCACATATCTACGTCACTATGTGGGAAGATCTGCATAACGCCGCCCAAATGTTCACGCAAAGAAAGAAGGCGTAACTTTTATTCTCGCTGTAGTTTCGTTGTTTCCGCCGCCACGTCGTAAAGTCGCTGTGTGCTTAGTTGTGAAAGCGAAACTACTTTTTAACCTTAAACCGCATAAACACATTTCATTACACCAAATACACAAAATACTGTTCTTTTTAGCTGCATCATATGACCCCTTTAAAATGGTACAATACAGAGTCACCTAGTAATAGAAATCAGTGTTGTTGTTTTTAGTTTTATTTCAGCCACTGAAGTGTTTACAATTGTGGCCTCATTCTATTGTTTATCTTGCATCATCTTACACAGGATAGTTTTTTTGTTAAATGACTCACGGAAGAGCAAATTTTTACAGCCCTTAAAGTACATATGCTGACACAAGCTCTCTTATATGCTTCACTGTTTCATTGATCTTCACTGTACAATTTAGAAGTAATGAGTAATGCTAAAATGTAATATTTAATGTATACTAATTGTTTAATATTTAATTGTAGCATAAATATTACTAAGAAGCTTTGAATTGTGCTATTTTGGTTACTATTTATATTGACATTAATATGCGTGACATGGACTCTGTAACATGTAGGTCGCACATTTGGATACCAAGAAATATTGAATGAACAGGATGATCCTCAAAATAGAAGTGCAAGCCCAGAAAAGATCCTTTATTTTGAATTCCCCTTGTTTGCATAGTGGTTTGCGACCTCTGCTTCAAAGCAGTGTTTGTTTTCGGAGCGGTGAGGGTCTAGAAAAGAAACAACATGAGCTATGCAACAGGTTTTTTGATCTGGTCCAGACAGATAGAAAAAACACGTTCAGGGCAAAAGCAAAAGAAAGGTCACATATTGCAGTAATTACTTGAGGCCAAGAATAATAATTCCTAGATCAGCAAAGCCAAATGTGTGGCAGGTAGCCTTGAAAAGGGGCTTTTCCTTTCCCATCCCTCTCTCTTGAGCAGAGTCGGGGTGTGGTGTGAAGTGCTTACATGTGTTTCTGGTACTTACCCCTGCTTTTTATTCCTTAGCATGAAAGATGTGTGACTCTGATCTCTTTAATCTGTTTCCCAGCTAACAGGGAACGTATAGAACTTTGGATAATGTTCAGGCAAAGTTTTCTTAAAGTTATAAACAAACTTCTTCCAGTAACATTAATAGAATGTAGAATCATTCTCAGAATCAATTAATAACTGACAAAGATAACTAGTATTAGTGAAAGGGATAGTTCACCCAAAAAAATGAAAATTCTGTCATCATTTACTCACCCTCAAGTTGTTCCAAACCTGTATGAATTTCTTTCTTCTGCTAAATACAAAAGAAGATATTTTGAAGAATATGGTTAACCAAACTGTTTCTGGTCCCTATTGACAATTTTTCTATACTATGCAAGTCAATGGGGACCAACAACAACTTTTTGCTTACCCACATTCTTCAAAATATCTTCTTTTATGTTTAACAGAAGAAAGAAACTCAGGTTTGGAACAACTTTTTGGGTGAAATCTCCCTTGAACCTTTACTCTGTTTACACCAGTCAAAAATCTGATAATTATTTTCTTTTTTAAATAAAATATTGAAATAATTCAGTCATTTTAAATTATTAAAATTACATTGTAAATAAATTATGTAAAATCAAATATACATGGGCACTGTCAGACCACGAACATAAGTAATGGATTTTATTTTATTTTTTTGTCATCAAGCTGAAATTTTATTTATAATCAGTTCCCATAACACTATGAAAACTTTTTTATAGAGTCTCTTAGACCCCAAAAAGAACTCAAGTATTAAATCACCAGTAAATGCTGATCAGGATTTTAAAACCAGTATACATCTATATTTTTCAGGTCCAGAAATTCAAGCTATTTTCCTCAGGTTTCCTTCATAAAATGAATTAGATATGCCCGCACCTACAGACAACTCTTGTTTCCTGTGTTTGTTAGGCCATTCATAACAGTGCAGCTATTGTACACCGTGCACTGATTTGGAAGAGTGCTACCATAAGAAATCAATATTTCTTATTTATTGCATTAAACCTTCGGGATATCATGTTTGGCCTTTTGGCAAGGTTTCCTCAACAAACAGCCAAAGAAATCAGATGTCCAACAGCTGAGGCCTACCTCATGACGGATTTTAAAAAGCTCAAATGGGCTGATGGAAATGCCCAGTCACTCCTAGTAACATGATTCGAAAATAAATGAAAGTTGCTTAAGTATTTAGATCATCTGATGTATATAAGTGCAATGGGGTTCACAAATCTTAAGAGCACTAGTGACGTTCCCATGTCAGCTTCTGCAAACATGTTTCTGGTCACTGATCCTGTCCTTGTCTTGAATCTCTGTGCAGGTATGGAGCACCTGGTAAAGGAGCTGAGTTTGCTTCTCAAGCTGCTGGAGAACGAGAGCGTGAGTTCAGCCACGGCAGAGAAGATGAGTGTGGTCAGAAACTTGGTCAAACAGCTGCAGCCATCCGGTGAGATTGAGCAGCAAATACATAACAGCTGAGCAGAAATGCTTGGCCAAGGCCTCGCTAAAGAGATTCACACATTAATAATTATAGCAATGTCAAAGTATTTCAGGCAGCAAAATTACTCTGAAGAAAAGGTCTAAAAATGATTCCTAAAAAGTTCACTCTAAAAAAATTATAGGAATAAAGTGTATGTTATGATTGATGTCCTCTGTTGTATTTCATGTAAGAATGTATGTATGAAGGGTAAAACACACTTTGCTAATTAATTAAATTATTTGTTTATTTATTAATTTATTTTGTAGTGAATGGATCAGACTTCATATACATGAACACGTCTCTCTGTGGAAATGGTACCAGCTTTGTTGAATCATTGTTTGAAGAATTTGGTGAGTATATTGCTGTATTTACTAAAACTTGAACATTATATTTTTTGTGAAAATAACGAAATTCCTTATAGCAAATAACATATTTTTTTCTGTATTTATACAACAGTTTTGCGAAACATCATATAAAACATTGTAATACATAAAAACTTGCAGTTGCTGCTAAAAATAGCAGAAAGAATGGCAGCTTTGTTTGAATCATATTCCCAGGATGTCATATGTATTGCATGTGTTTGTAATTGTTCAGTTTTGATGTTTGTTCTCAGACTGTGACCTGCAGGATCTCAGGGACTCGCCTGAAGAGATGAAAGATGTGGAGCAAGAGGAGGCGTCCAAGCACCCACCCACAAAATCGGTAAAAGAATATGTATCAAATACAAAAACATACGCTACCGTTCAAAAGTGTGAGACTAGTAGGTCTTTTAAAGAACTTAATAATTTTATTAATCAAGGAATAAATCGACTTTTCACAGTCAGTGTATGCCAAACGAGAATAATTAAAAGCAAATTTAATAGTGTTTTAGACAGAAAATTGAATAATTTTTGGTTTTGTTTTGTCAGAGTCCCACAGACACACCCCCTCCCCTCCCTACCACACCTCCTCCTGATGATTACTATGAAGAAGCCGTCCCGCTTGGACCGGGCACAGCACCCCAGTATATAACTACTCGCAGTACGTGCAAACACATTCAAGCCTAAGATGGCACAATAACAGACAATTATGAAACCTAACACAGTGTACTTATTTACTAGACAACTCCAGCCCTCCAAACTCAATAGAGGATGCTTATTATGAAGACGCTGACAACAATTACCCAACTACTCGTCTAAACGGGGCCAGCAAAAACTCCTGTAAGGAACCTGTGCTGTTTTTTATACTTGTGCCTATGAAAATGTGCTACATTTGTATAGAGTTTTAATAGCTGTTGATGTCAACAGACAATGATTCAGATGCACTCAGCAGTTCTTATGAATCCTACGATGAAGAGGATGAGGAAACTAAAGGCAGAGAGAGGACGCACCAATGGCCCTCAGAGGAGAGTCCAGTCGGTCAAATGAAAGACTGTCGCAAATGCGCCTTCCTGCTTCGCAAGAAACGCTTCGGTCAATGGGCTAAGCAGCTAACAATCATTCGTGAGAACAGACTTCAGGTGAATCGCACTGGAACTGTTAAAAGAAGGGAGACAATCTAACATCTGATCAATTCGGCAAGCTCTAAACATAGCATTTATTCTCCACAGTGCTTCAAGAATCCCAAAGATCGCTCTCCACACGTTGACCTCCCCCTGAATCTCTGCAATGTCATCTATGTGCCTAAAGATGGACGCCGCAAGAAGCATGAGCTTCGTTTCTCCATGCTGGGAGGAGAGGCACTAGTGCTGGCTGTACAGAGCAAAGAACAGGCCGAGAGCTGGCTCAAGGTGCTTCATCGCAATATATGACATAATATAATGGCTATTTACTAACTAAATAAATGAGTTTAAATGATTTTATTATGTGAGAAGAAAGTCATGCACAGTTATGTAGGAAATCCAGGGTTCCCATTGTTGTGGAAAACCTGGAAATATCAGGGAATTTAAAAATGGTGATTTCCAGGCCTGAAAAAGTCATTGAATCCTGGTCAACCAGTGTTGGAAGGAGCGCTGGTGTTGTGTGAGGAATGGGACTCTGTATCTCCATAAGGACAGAGGGGACATTCACACCCATGTGAGTGCTTTAGCCCTCCATGGTGTAGAAGTCTTACCCGGTTTTGGACCCAAACATCCTTTTGCCTTCCGCATCATGCGAGCGAGCAAAGAAGTGGCCGCCCTGGAGGTAAAAACTATGGATCTTCTGTTACATTGTAAGATGTTTCATTTAAAAAAGCATATGGGTAATTCTGTAATGTAATCAACTTCAGGCGAGCTGTTCTGTGGAGATGGGCCGCTGGCTGGGGGTTTTGTTAGCTGAAGCAGGCAGCGCTACCACCCCTGAGGCATTGCATTATGACTATGTGGATGTGGACACCATCTGCAGCATCCAGAACGCAGCACGACACTCTTTTCTGTGAGTAAAGAGTTTTCTCTTTATCACTTTAACAGACTGATATGCTCTTTTGCACTACACTCGTTATATCTTCACAGTTGTTTATATCACTGGTTTGCACTATAACTGCCATGTGCCTTATGCCACTTTTTCTATCTCTCTCTTTTTTTCTTTTTTTTTTTTACTTGTATATTGTATAGGTTGTATTTTATATATATTTAAACTGTATTTATCTGTATTATGTCTACTGTTAGTGTTAAGTGTTAACTGTATGCACCAAGGTAACACAATTAACACAATTTCTATTCTCTGTATGTATGTGCTGTACATGTGGCAGAATTGACAATAAAGACTTTGACTTTGACTTTGACTTTGAGTAGAACTGAGGATATTTAGCCTGTTCCAGTTGGAATGTGTAAAGTAGTTCACTCACAGATTTGTGGAATTTTCATGCTAATTCTTGTTTTATTACATTTTTCATGCCATAGGTGGGCGACCTCCTCTAGCAGCACCTCCACAGATCCACGGACTTATGATGAAGTACCTTACGAAAGTGTGTTGGTAAGGTGTTAAGTTAAAAATATATCACATATGAATTAAACATGTATTTATTTAAATTGAATTGAATTGAATAATAATAAGAAATGTTTTTTAACACCAAATCAGCATATTAAAATGACTTCTGAAGGATCATGTGACACTAAAGCCTGGAGTAATCATGCTGAAAATTCAGCTTTTCCATTACAGCAATAAATCACATTTTGAAATATATTCAGATTGAAAAGTTAATTGTAATAACATTTCACAATATTGCTATTTTTACTGTATTATTATCAAATAAATGCCTTGTTGAGCATAAGAAATTTCATTTAATTTTTTATTTTTTTATTTACTGATCCCAAACATTTGAACAATAGTGTACATTTTTGGCGTTCATGATTAAAGAGTATAATGAAAACTGATCGTTTTTGCTGTGTGTCAGAGGTTACTTAGAGATTTTTATGACATTTGAAAAGAATGTTTCAGCCAAGTTAGGTGTTGTTTCTGGAGTTAACTGGAGAATAACCACAGTTCTCTCAGAGTTTTAGTTCATTTTCCGAATTAACCCGAAAGGCAGCAACAAATATTTATTTTCTCTGGTTTATTCTCTAAAATGCAACAGTCTTTGTTATGTCTAGTCAGCTACTAATATTCTGTCATTGCAAGCATGTCCTTTTAAAAAGGAACTTTTCAGGAAATCCCTAAATAAGCACATTGTGTAATGCTGAAGTAAATACTATCATACTGAAAACCAAGAAGTTAACAAAAAGTGTTTACATTTTGTTTTGTTGCCACACAAGCTGTAATTACTCCTCATTTCCCCCCCTCTACTCTGTCTCTCTTCCACCAGCAGGTAGATGACAATCAGTCTAAACTGAAGCGTTATTCCTCTATGTCCAGTGTGGATACAGCCAAGGGTGACACACAGATCACAGTGAAGCGACACGGTTCCTGTAAGTTGTTTCCACTGGAAAATCACTTTTTTTGTTTGTTTTTTGGTTGATGCTTTCAGCATCATCTAGACATATATTCAAACACAATCATAGCTTTTCTGATTAAATACCATTTATGACCAATTCCGTCTTATTTTTGTTGTAGCTGTGAATCACTACGGTAAATATGGAAAGACGAGGGCAGAAGAAGATGCACGACGGTGTCTCAATGAGAAAGAGCAGCTCGAGAAAGAAAAAGAAGTAATCAAGAAGAACCTGTTGTCACTGCGCTCAGAAAAGAGGGTGGTGAAGGAAGAGCTGAAAAAGGCGACTGGTGAGAGAATTGACAGGTTTGACTGTTAATCAAATAATATGCAAGGTGGTCTGTTCAGTGTTGGCAACTAATTTTCAGAGAAAGTTGCTAAAGGAAGGTCGATGTGTTGCTAAAAGTTGCTAAATGACGTTGTGATGTCATTGCTCAATGACGTCATTGCGTAATCACGACGCAAAATTGTCACATCATCAAATCTCAGCAAAAAATATATTTTATATATGTTAATTTAGATTTGTTTGTAAAATAATATGCATGATATAATATTAAAATATACGTAACTATTTTTAAATACATTGAATTATTGAAAACTTACACATTTTTAAATTATTACAATTTAACTTTTTTTAGTAGCTAGTAAACTCTACACATTGTCAACAATTATGCTTGAAGCAGTGTATTAGTAGTTAGTTAGTATGCTACACTCTAAGAAAAGTCTGTAAAAATAAGGCACAATCTACTATGTTAATATGAAAGAATTTTCCGTAATGGTTTTTTTTACCTGCATTTTAAATTACGCATTGTGTTTTCGGGTTACAGGGTTACAAAGGATGATGGATAATGGATAATGTCCTGAAAGATTTTCCATTTTTCTTACAGTGTACTAACTGATCAACAATCGCAGGTACAAGCTACTAACAAAGTTTATCATAAATGAACAATTATTCAATTATCAAATTATTCAATTATTATTATTATTATTAAATTGAACAATTGCAAATAGCAGCTAACTCAATTCTCGTGATGTGTGTACTGTTAGGCATCTGTGGTTTCCTCTTTTTGTGTAATTTGAATGAAAATGTCCTTATCAAAAGTTGCTAAAAGTTGCCAAATAAATGTTTAAAATTGCTAAATTTGTTGCTAGGTGCTTTTGGAAGAAAAAGTTGCTAGGGTAGTCTGAAAAGTTGCTAAATTTAGCAAATAAATTGCTAAGTTGGCAACACTGGGTCTGTTACCATTTTTGCAGTATTTGGCGCCACCTACTGACAATATCCACAGTTATGGGAGCTGTTCATTTAATCTTATATGTTTTGTACACTGCCCTTCAAAAGTTTGGGATCAGTAAGATTTGTAATGTTTTTAAAAGAAGTCTCTTTTGCTCATCAAGGCTGCATTCATTTGATCAGAAACACAGAAAAAAACGGTAATATTGTGAAATATTATTGCAATTTAAAATAATGCTTTTCTATTTTAATATACTTTAAAATATAATTTATTCATGTGATGCAAAGCTGAATTTTCAGCATCATTATTCCAGTCTTCAGTGTCACATGATCCTTCAGAAATTATTCCAGTATGCTGATTTATTATCAATATTATAATAGTTTTG